CTAACCCAAACCCAAACCCAAGCCCAAACCCAAACCCAAACCCAAACCCAAACCCAAACCCAAACCCAAACCCAAACCCAAACCCAAACCCAAACCCAACCCAAACCCAAACCCAAACCCAAACCCAAACCCAAACCCAAACCCAAACCCAAACCCAAACCCAAACCCAAACCCAAACCCAAACCCAAACCCAAACCCAAACCCAAACCCAAACCCAAACCCAAACCCAAACCCAAACCCAAACCCAAACCCAAACCCAAACCCAAACCCAAACCCAAACCCAAACCCAAACCCAAACCCAAACCCAAACCCAAACCCAAACCCAAACCCAAACCCAAACCCAAACCCAAACCCAAACCCAAACCCAAAACCAAACCCAAACCCAAACCCAAACCCAAACCCAAACCCACGACTAAGGTCAGACCCAACATTTTGACTTTTATTCATCTTAATTAATTATCTCAATAAATACTCATTATAAATCAATATATTATATATCAATATACTCCAAATTTAATATATAATCATATAATAACATAATATTACATCATTATAATGACTTATATAAGTTAATTTCATATAACAGATTAGACAATTAGAATATCAATGAAAACATTTCAAATTCAATTCAAATCAATTAATCATCTTATAAGTCATGTTAATAACAATATATATCAATTTCAAATACTTTGGTATCAATTCAGGACATTTACTATTCAACTTGTCAACTGACCTATACTAACATTGAAGATAGAAATCTATACCACTTCAATTCACTTCTAATACATCTACACATGATAATTAAATACATTAATATCATTTTGAAATTCATCCATATTATACATGGTACATGGCTGATCCACTTGATACCTACAGGGATGTGACAATGACATGTACTATACAGATCATCCTGATATTGATACAGTACCTTACCAATGATGAATTAACACCACAGTATCAGTTTCGTGACAATTTGAAATCATTCAACTAGTCAGGAGTGTAATCATGAGAATTATGAATGTCAGTATAATGAAATGATATTAATTTTGAAATCTTTCAATTATATCATCATATATAGATCAATTAATCATGGTATATCAATAATTGGTATTGAATTTCATATCAATTCATTCAAACCTTAATGACCTATCCTTAGATGACCAAGGCAATTTTAAACTATCATGAATCATATAACTATTGAT